CCAAAGAATGGAGAAACTTAATGAATGAATTGAAGCATGACATTGGACCAACCATACATGGTAATAACAATAATATCATAATAATAATTTTGACGTCATAGAACTATAAATAGAGACGAAAAAAAGTAAAAATAGCATCCTAATAAAAATTTTGACGTCTTATATAGAGTGTGCAAAAGGTGTGCAATAGATGTGCATAAACCGTACGTGTACACGTAGTATTATTGATAAATTTATTCCTAAATTTTCTCTACAATAGTAATTTAAATTGATTTAATCTTCTAAAATCAACATGATGAATTATAAAAAAAGGACTTTGATGTGACATATTTGCTATAGTGAAAAACGGTTACGCTTGCGCTTAGTCAAATCGGTCTCAATTTTTTGTTCATCTTCCCGATATAAAGAACAACAAATACATTTAAGAAATGGAGAATAAACAAAGACCCAATACCAGCCTTTGTGAGAAGAGGATGACAACGTCTCTGTTGCTCAGTATCAAACACCCGAAGGAGCCATGATCCTACTCGCAAGCCTCACAATGGCGTCAAATGTTTACTTGTTTGATCCGTGGTGGAACCCGACGGTCATGAGCAGGTCATGGACCGTGTGCATAAGATTGGCCAAAGGAAGGACGTGAAGATTGTGAGGATGATTGCACCTGACACCATTGAGGAGAGGATATTGCGGCTGCAAGAAAAGAAGAAATTTTTTGCTCGGGAAGTTTTTACAAAGAAGCAAAGCTCGCGAGATCAAATGGATTTAAGCACAGATGACCTCATTACCTTGATGCAGTTGTGATTCAAACAGTTGAATCCAAAGAATGGAGAAACTTGATGAACCAATTGAAGCATGACAATGGACCAGCCATACATGGAAATAATAATAGTATCGTAATAATAATTTTGAGGTCATAGAACTATAAATAGAGACGAAAAAAAGTAAAAATAGTATCCTAATAATAATTTTGACGTCTTCTATAGTGTGCAAAGGTGTGCAATAGATGTGCATAAACCGTGTACACGTAGTATTATTGATAAATGTATTCCTAAATTTTATCTATAATAGTAATTTAATTTAATTTAATCTTCAAAAATCAACATGATGATTTTCAAAAAAAAATAAATGGACTTTGACGTGACATATTTGCTATAACGAAAAACGACTACGCTTGCGCTTATCGCTTAGTCAAATGGTCTCTTTTTTTGTTCATCTTCCAGATACAAAGAACAACAAATAGATTTAGAAAATGGAGAATAAACAAAGACCCAATACAGGCCTTTCTGAGAAGAGGACTATGGCGTCTCTGTTGCTCAGTATCACGACACCCGAAGGAATCATGGTCCTACTCGCAAGCCTTAAGTCATCGGGGGCTGGGGTAAACCTCACAATGGCGTCAAGTGTTTAATTGTTTGATCCGTGGTGAAACCCGGCGGTCGAGGAGCAGGTCATGGACCATGTGCATAAGATTGTCCAAAGGAAGGAGGTGAAGATTATGAGGATGATTGCACTTGACACCATTGAGGAGAGGATACTGCGGCTGCAAGAAAAGAAGAAACTTTTGGCTCGGGAAGTTTTTACAAAGAAGCAAAGCTCGCGAGATCAAATGGATATAAGCACATATAACCTCATTACCTTGATGCAGTTGTGATTCAAACAGTTGAATCTAAAGAATGGAGAAACTTGATGAATGAATTGAAGCATGACATTGGACTAGCCATACATGGTAATAATAATAGTATCGTAATAATAATTTTGGCGTCATAGAACTATAAATAGAGAAAGTAAAAATAGTATCCTAATAATAATTTTGACATCTTATATTGAGTGTGCAAAAGGTGTGCAATAGATGTCGTGTACACATAGTATTATTGATAAATTTTTTCCTAAATTTTATCTTCAATAGTAATTTAATTTAATCTTCTAAAATCAACATGATGATTTTCAAAAAAATAAATGGATTTTGACGTGACATATTTGCTATAACGAAAAACGATTACGCTTGCGCTTATCGCTTAGTCAAATGGGTCTCCATTTTTGTTCATTCTCCCAGATACAAAGAACAACAAATACATTTAGAAAATGGAGAATAAACAAAGAAGAGGACGACGGCGTCTCTGTTGCTCAGTATCCTGACACTCGAAGGAGTCACAGTCCTACTCGCAGGTCATGAACCGTGTGCATAAGATTGGCCAAAGGAGGGAGGTGAGATTGTGAGGATGATTGCACTTGACACCATTGAGGAGAGGATATTGCGGCTGCAAGAAAAGAAGAAACTTTTGGCTCGGGAAGTTTTTAGAAAGAAGCAAAGCTCGCGAGATCAAAGGGATATAAGCACAGATGGATGACCTCATTACCTTGATGCAATTGTGATTCAAACTGTTGAACCCAAAGAATGGAGAATCTTGATGAATGAAATGAAGCATGACATTGGACCAGCCATACATGTTAGTAATAATAGTATCATAATAATAATTTTAAAGTCATTGAAGTATAAATAGAGACGAAAATAGTAAAAATAATATCCTAATAATAATTTTGGCGTCTTATATAGAGTGTGCAAAAGGTGTGCAATAGAGGTGCATAAACCGTGTACACATAGTATTATTGATAAATTTATTCCTAAATTTTCTCAACAATAGTACTTTAATTTGATTTAATTTAATCTTCTAAAATCAACATGATGATTTATAAAAATATAAATGGACTTTGAGGTGAAATATTTGCTATAACTAAAAACGGCAATGTTTGCACTTATCGCTTAGTCAAATCGGTCTCCATTTTTGTTCATCTTCCAAATACAAAGAACAACAAATCGAATTAGGAAATCTTACTCTATATAAAAGCAAGTGGAAATTGGCTATTTTCCGCCCAAAAATACGGGTCAAAAACAGGCTAATTTGGGTCATTAATAATCTGGAATGTCAGTAGGTTAAAATGGTGGTCTGCTCTTGCTCGAATGTTGTCTGCCCAATGCCCCAATGTTTTCTTGATCTTGAACCGGGTGCATTACAGTTGTCTTTGAGATGGATGGAGCAATCTTATCAAACAAGAGAGTAATACCGGAAATAGGACTACAAAGGTTTGGAAATTCCAAAATAAAACTGTCATGTTTTTATTCCCAAAATAGGATTAATTATTGTCACCTTTTGGCAGTATCAGACTTCAAACATGGCAGTATTTTTCAAATTTGGCAGTAATTACTCCTATTTTGGGAATAAAAAACATGACAGTCCTATTTTGGAATTTTCAAACTGATTTAGTCCTGTTTCGGGAACTTTCCCTATCAAACAAGCTTTCTCATCTACTTTTCCGTTTAATATTAATCCCTACCACCTTCACCTCACTCAGTGCAATTTTATTTGTTATTGAACCAGTTGGAGTGGCAGTCTCCGCATTATCAAAACAAGTTGGGAAAACTGTCAAATAGGTAATCTTGGACCCGGTTCGGGCCGCCCGGCCCGGGACCGGCACGGCCCACTACTGTGCAGGACCGGACCGGTTCTCGGGTCAGGGTCCGAGTCGGGCCTAGGCCCGGTGGGGGGGTGGGTCCGGGCTCGGGTCTTATATTTGGCGAACCGGCCCGGCCTGGTCGGGCCCGGGCCGAATTGATTTTTTTTTTTTTCATTTTTGAGGTTCCACCTGGGTTGGGCTTGATGGCTAGGAGGGGTTTGGGGGGTGGGGGAGTGAGGGAGGGGGGGGTTAGGAAAGCAAAAAAAAATATAACCAAACCGCAGGCCCAGCCCGGCCCGGGCCCGGACCAGACCCGGTGGCTACCCGGGCCTTCCTTCCCAAAAAAAAAGCCCGGCCGTGCCCGGCCCAGGTCCATGACTACAAATAGGTCCTCGAACTTTCATAAAAAAGTCAAATAAGTCCTTATATAGGAGGTTCTGTCCGGCCGTCGCGATTTGGGGCGGTTTCCGGTGGAATTTTTTGATGAAAATTTTTTAGCATCTTATTCATCAAGTCTAGTTCACTCATACCAAATTTCAGCTGAAACTTCAATCGGGAACGCATTCAAATTAATTCTTGAAGATGCATTGCGAATTTAACTGTACAGTTATCTTCAAGAATTAATTTGAATGTGTTCCCAATTAAAGTTTTAGCTGAAATTTGGTATGAGTGAACTAGACTTGATGAATAAGATGCTCAAAAAAATTCATCAAAAAATTCCACTGGGAACCTCCCCAAATCACGACTGCCAGACAGAGCCTCCTATATAAGGACTTATTTGACTTTTTTACGAAAGTTCGAGGACCTATTTGACAGTTTTTCCAAACAAGTTTTTGAAATATACCAGCAATGGACCAATGGTTATCATTAAGCATCTTTTTCGGATTACCTTTCCATACTCCATAGACATTACGAATTTGATGCGCCTTCTAATCGAGATAACTTTCTTGAACTTATAAGGATTCTTGTAATTGTAATAATGTAATAAAAAACGTATTTTGCAAACTGCCCATAATAACTACTCCCTCCGTCCCCCTAAGTTTGGGACGGAGGGGTGTGGTGTGATTTTTAAGAAAAAGTGGAATTGTGTGGTTGATATTGAATTGATAAAGTGTAAATAAAGTAAGAATGAATTCTAACCACTCAAATGTTACCAAATATAGTATGGGACAAACTTAGTGGGACGGACGAAAAAAGTAAAACGGGACAAACTTAAGGGGACGGAGGGAGTATTGATTAAAACCCCTAAGATTGAAAAAGAAATTTTTCATGCCTCCACAACTGAGACCATCAAAGTAAATTATAAATAGCCTTGGTGATGATGAATTTTCTTTATGTTGTGTTTTATAATAGTGCACCCTAAGTAGTATGTAAGGGAACTGATGGGCTTAAGAGTTTAGTTTCGAAATAAAAAGAGAAAAATGTCAATTATTCCTCCGTACTTTAATTTTCACGAATTACGTCCTCCAGCTATATAGTTTTCTTGCAGGTAACCCGCCAATCGGTAACAATCGGTAGGTTACCTGCTAACGCGGTGCACACGTGGCGACAAGATAGAAAAGGAAAAAGGAACAAAAATAAAGGAAATGGGTGAAAAAGTGACATGGATCGCCATGCCAGCATCACGTCAAGTCAATATGCAGCCTTTTTATTGTCAATAGCAAACTTATTATAATAAAGTTTCATCTTTTACGGAAAAATTAATCAAAGCTTCAATGAAAATGACAATTATTGTAATCCAAGATTCCAAGTGCACAAACAAACTATAATGGGAAATGTGAAAATTGATTTTCACCCTCCTGTAAAATTAATCAAAGCTTCAATGAAAATGACAATTATTGTAATCCAAGATTCCAAGTGCACAAACAAACTATAATGGGAAATGTGAAAATTGATTTTCACCCTCCTGTTGTGTATAATACCTGAACTTCGCCACTGAAATTAGAAGGTGAAAGGTTTGATGTGGAACAGTGTTTCCACTGTTCTGAATGGAGCTTGGCTTATGAGGATCTTGAGAAACCTATAAAGGACAACCAGTGGATGTGTATCTGTGTTCCTGTGAGTTCGAAAGAGGCCAGAACTCTTTAATACTACACCCATGAAAATGATAAGTTCATGGAGCCACATGGTTTTACCTAGCATTCCAATAGAGAAAAATTAAACTTGTAACGTGTAAGTTACACCCAACCCGTAAACAACAAAAATCAAGAGAAAACATAAACTTGTAATGTGTTAGTTAGTTCTCACCAGTCACCCCCATGTAATCAACAAAAAACAAGATAAAAATTAAACTTGGGGAAATCGCACTTTTAGTCCCTGAAATCGTCCCCAAAATGGAATGTCAAACCCGTATTTCTAAGATTGTAAATGTCACCCCTCAATTGTCCAAATTGTTGTAAATATGGTTCTTTAAGGGGTGAAATGTACTCTCGCCCACATTGTATATTTCACCCCTCAAAGGACCACATTTACAGCATTTTGGACAATTGAGAGACGACATTTACAAACTTGGAAACACGGGTCTGACATTTCAATTTCGTGACTATTTCAGGGACTAGAAGTGTGATTTTCCCTTAAACTTGTAATGTCTTGCTTACTTCTCAGTTCTCACCAGTCACCCCCAACATGTAATCAACAAAAAACAAGAGAAAAATTAAACTTGTAATGTCTTGCTTAATTCTCACCAGTCAGGCAGTCACCCCCGTCCCCCAACATGTAATCAACAAAAAACAAGAGACAAATTAAACTTGTAATGTCTTAGTTACTTCTCACCAGTCACCCCCAACATGTAATCAACAAAAAACAAGAGAAATATTAAACTTGTAATGTCTTGCTTACTTCTCACCAGTCACCCCCAACATGTAATTAACAAAAAACAAGAGAAAAATTAAACTTGTAATGTCTTAGTTTAAGAGTCTCTCAAAAGATACTCACAATTCAGTCTTGACCTTATCAAGAAGCTTGGATGCTTTCAGGGATTGTAAGACGTAGCCCCAGTAAGGCAGTAACCCAATAAGATTTTAACCTGCAACTGGTTCATGGTCAACAAAAAGCTCATTGGTTACCTCTCTCAATGGTGTATATAAGAGCTGCAAATCCCCTGCTTGCGTGGACTAGAAAGGTAACCCAGACGTGCATTTCTTCACCGCTTCGCACCTCGGGTAAATCAATGAAAAAGCCTCGTGCCGCCTCGCGCTGTTTAAAACTAAGGGAGGTAAGGATAAATAGTGGTTAATTGTGAATGGTACAATGACTTTAAGAAATTGTACAACTACAATTTGATTTAGTTTATCACCAACATTATCATACCTCAAATGCCCTAAACACCGTTGGTTTTATATGATTTTAAGATATATATATACACACACACATATACATACATACTTACATACATACATACATACATACATACATACATACATACATACATACATACATATATGTATATATGTGAACATTCATGTCAGGCCGGCCTGATCGGAACCGCCGTCAGGCCACCTCCACTTGAGGTGCTTCCGGGTGGAATTTTGTGATGAAATTTAGTGAGCATGTTTTTCATCAAGTGTAAATTATGTCTATTCAATAGGGAAGTGAATAAAATAAATTATTGAAAAACATTGCGCTTAAAAACCGGGATGTGAGTTTCATGCCACGCAGCTTACAAATATTTTTATTCTTCGAAATAGTCCTCTTTGGTCATTAAGGGAGATCTGGCTGCACTGCAAATCCTTGAAGGAAGTAGTATATGAGCATATTCCTAAGGAGGGCAACCTTGCGGCTGTACTTTCGGAACCATTGGGTTATAATTGCTTGACTGAGTTTTACTCAATTGGAGAATTACCTAGTGTATTCAATCGGACATAGATGGGGTTCCATATCTGGTGCTTTAATTTGTTTTTTCGTAATTTTTGGTTTTTAATTCCCCTCTCACTTGTACTTTATTTTTTTCTTTTAATACATTTTGGTAAATGTTCCCCGACATTTACCCACTGATGGTGGTTTGCCTATTGGGTTAAAAAAGGTGAAAGCACTTCAAGGTATAAAAAAAATATACGAGTACATGATATGTACAAGAGTTATGTATGGCCTTGTTTGGGATGACTATTAATGCTTACTTTAAATGTAATTGAACAGATGTGTGAATGAATGTGTATTTCGGTCCAAGTAAAAAATGGTTGTCATGTTTAGTAAGTATATTCATATTTCGGTACATTACACTTTATGTTCACAGACAACACTACAAAATTGACACCTAAATTAATTAAAAATTAAACTTTTGCAACTGTCACGAATAAGCAAATTTGAAGTTGACATGAGTTTCTGGGGCATATATTACCAATCTCCACCACATATGCAGCCGTTCATAGTTATACATAGTATTATCTTGCCGAATGGAAAGGTTCTGCTGATTGCCTAAGATTAAAATTTGTAAAGACATGTTATGTATTACTCCATATGTTTGTATCATACAAATGCAGTCACCAAAAGAGAAGAATGCAAAGAATTTCTTGCTTAGTTGTATCACTCAAAGTAAATCAAAGAGTTTTAACAGATTTAAGCATCACACACTAATACAGAGTGACAATGCACCAAGCTAATAGTCACACTAACAAAAGAAACAAACCAATTTGTAGTCTGTCCCAATAAAATCCCAAAGAAATTGGGTACAGTGAATTATACTTTTAGGCATAATGAATATTCCATATGAGTATATGACCATCTAACTAAATTGCTTAGTAGATGAAACTAAAGAAGTAAATGAAAGATTAACACAATGGTAAGACATGATTATGACGAAATGAAATGTTAAGGTAGAGAGTAAGAGAAGACCAGTGTGGCGTTTCCCAGCAAGATTAATCCAAGTAAAAGCGATTCTGGGCAATGTTTTGGCCAACAACAACTTCAGACGATTTCCAAATACCGGTAGGAATGGCAGCAAGCTCCCTAATTCGAAATTCCTTCCAAACAGGGTCTGCCCCGAACTTATCCAATAAAACCCAAAGAGAAGGTGTTCCCTTTAACGTTAACAATAGGATTTCCCCAGCTGGAGTAGCAGTAATAAAAGGCCTGGAAAAAAATTCACTCTCTGACTCCAGAACCCCTTCCTCTAATGGAAAGGGGAAAACATGCTTCTTCCAGCAAGATGGCGCTGCCATCTCCAAACTCCAAGCAATAACCTGATTGTTCTGGTGGACATACATGACAGCAAACCGCCCGTCCAATTCTACCCCGTATGACTTTCCGAAATATTCATATGTTGCAGGAGGAAGAGGTATCAGGAGGAAACTTTCAGACCCAACATCGAATGCCACTAGCCCTGTAAGATTTTACCTTAGCAGACGTTTCATGAATGGTGTTTGCATTAACGGCATGATCTAAACAGGAAAAAGTACGGAAAATCTCTAAAGACTAATTTTATTCTTTTGAAATTTCTGGTGGATGTTGAGTTGTGTATTGAGGTTGTCTACGGTGACTAATTTTGATTTATGGCAAATCGTTCTGTTCAATCTGGAATTCCTAATTTCTTCCTCGTTTGATAAAGGAGGAGGATGATCGTTTTCGGTTGCATGTCCTAGAAAATATTTCGAAAAGAAAGAGTCATCAGAATGGTTGAAGCTGTCTGAGGCATCAGAGTAAGCCTGGAGAAGTAGAATTTGTGGTTGTTTCTCAAAAGATAAGGATTGTTGTTTCTCGCAATAGGCTCTTTGAAATCCATAGTAAATACTACCTCCGTCCCGTTGGAATGTTCCCGGTTTGACCTACACACATATTAAGGAAATAAACTTACCAGGGGGTAAATTTTACTGTTTGGATACTGTTTGGACACTGTTTGACACTGTTTAACACTGTTTTGCACTGTTTGACACTGTTTTGATGTAGGATAATTTTCCATTTAGGGAAATGAGAACTTTCCATTGGGACATCCAAAAAAGGAAAATGAGAACATTCCAACGGGACAGAGGTAGTATGAGTTTGGAAACGGTGATTTCCTCAGAGTCAGTTGAAGTCTCATGCTCCCAATGCATGGGTTCTTTATACTCTAAATAAGATAATTCAACAAAATTAGAAAATAATGTCGAAAGATCGTTGAGATTGGAATTATGTGGGCCCTTGGGAACTATAATTGAGGTCCCCTTTTCCTTAACAATCTTCATATAACAACTTGATTTGTAAGGACAATCGCAGATGGAGGAAGGAAATTCAGGAAACCTTGCTTGCTTCTAAGCGAAAGAGTGTTGGTTTTGGACATGTACTGCGTGAGGCCAATTGGGCTGCTCACCACTTGGCTAAGGAAGGAACGGCCCAGTTTAATATATTTACCAGACCAAATGATTTAGCTATTTCTGTCAGACGGGCTCTCTCCATGGACTTCTATGGCTTGCCATCTTTTAGATTCTTATAGATGTGTTTTTATTTTGGGTCAGTTGTGACCCCGGTTTTTCTGCTTGTTTTGTAATTTTTGTTTTTGAGAGGCTTTGGTCTGGCCCTCCTCTCATTCTACTTTAATCTCCACTTTTATCAAATAAAAATCTAGCAAATGACTCCCGGTATTTGCCCCACTGGATGTGGTGGTTGACTTTCCGCGTTAAAAAAAACACCTGATTTGTTGAGCTCAGAAGAAACTGTGATATACCCGGATTTTCTGCTCTGCATGTGATTAATTTTTTAGCTTGTGATATGTTGTATGAAATGGTAGATCTGGGTAGCAAGCACTATTTTGAAATTAATCCATCTAAAAGAAGATTTTTCTATTTAAAAAATTTCGATTTCATTATTTCTGGCAGCAAATCTAAATAATTTAGATTCAATTTTGATGGAATTGAAATCCTCCTCTCCAAAAAATTTGAAGTTTTCGGAATCCTTGCAAGAGTCATCTGACCAGCCTAGAAGAGGGACAATCGGGTCTGTACGCGCAGTGGTCTTAATGTCCTTGATAATAATTTGTTTTTCATTATTTTTTGAGGATGAATCGAGGTTTCCGTATACGGGCTGGCTTTGTTTACGCGTTTGTTCGATACGCACCTCACGCGCCCATGTGAGGGATCAGACAGTGCTAGTCGAATGGGTCTTCACGCCTAAGACGTTGTCTACGTCTCTGCGGGGATGTCGGCCGCTGCACTGACAAAGATGGAATCTCCTGATTGATTTTTTAGCAGAACTTCGGTGCACATAATATACACTTAATAAAGAGAGGAGAGAGCCACACATGGGTATTCAAATACTTTGTTGATATAGAAAATACGGAGTATCATTTTTCATATTCAATATAGGTTTCTTCTCTTTTCTATTTGAATCTGTTCTATTCAACGTTCCATTGTTGGAATCGTATTCTACATTTGATATCATAGCCGAGGCGTGAAAAAGGTTGAATTTTCTGCAATTGTTTGGATCATGTTGGGACATTTTAGTCATTGAGGAGAGGATATTGACCATGGATGACACATTTACTTCAGTGAACCAAATCAAACCAAACCAACCTACAAATTTTTCATTTGGTTTGGCTCAGTTGGGCCAAACCATGTGCCCACTCCTACTAAAATAAAAACTATAAAGAGAAACTTTCTTTGTTGCAGTTAGGATGTTTTTACTTGGACTGTAATTTGCTAGTCTGGTCTGATCTGATCTGGTCTGGTCTGGTCTTGTAAGGTCTGGTTTCTTTGTATTTTTATAACTATCCAAGTCTGGTCTGGTCTGAACTGGTCTGGTCTGGACTTGTCTGGTCTGGTCTGGAGCAAATTACAGTCCAAGTAAAAACATCCTTATATGCAAAAGCGCAACAATAAATAGGAAAAAAGTAAAACTCAAATAAAATATTGCGATTATTAATTTATTATAGAAACCGCAACAAATTAGGACCAATAATTAATAAAAATCTAGTAGTTTTTGAAGAACCGTTAGTTCAATATCTGGTCGATTCTAAATTTTTTGAAAAATGGATATAAGAATTGTTCAAGTCATATCATGTATGTTATCATTTTTTTCTTTAACAAATAAAAAAATGTTTAAACATTGTTTTGTGTCATAGTTAAACCGCTAACACATAAAATTATAATTTCAAGCTAATACATGTTTAACCATTAATTAATTAACAAATTCTAACAAACAAAAAACTAATAAGAAATAATTATTAAGAAGAAATTCTCTATTATACATACATGCTTCCTCCTTTCTCTTTTAATTGCAAGTCACAACAGTCCACTTTTCACGTTTGTCAACGCACAAATTTGACCATTGATATATTCCATTCCCTTATAGTAAAAAATTAGAAAGAGAATATTTTGAAATTTTAAAATGAGAGAATTTAACAATATTTTTCAACAAAAAGGTACACAACACGTTGTGGACGTCTCCCTAGAGGTCTAGGGTTAGTTTTTGTTGCGCCGCTCTTCTTCCTCAGTCGACGGGGGAGGGATTCGATGTCAAAGGGTTTTTTCGGTTTTGTTTGTAATCGGACGTTGAGGCCGGGGAGGGTGCTGCCGTGTTGCCTCAGTCTTTCTTCGAACAGTTTTCTCAGCGAAGAGGGGAAGCAAGGTTTGCTTCGTTTTGTTCAAATTGATTGGTGGCCGATTGATTGGGCTTTGAACGAAGAAGGGAAGATTGAGAAAATTGCTAACAAATACCGGAATATGGCTATCGGGGATCACAAGGAAGAACTGATTTTTTAGGAGGAGCCGCTTGAGGAGGAAGGGGACTCGACTGAGAGAGAAGTGGTACAAAGGATACGGCCTCCTCTTGAGCCACCGTCATGGGTTGTGCGAGATGCAAGAGTCCGTGAAAGTTCTCCAATAAGTTTTCATTTTTTGTTATCTGGTTTCTTGTTATCGTCTGTGTTGTTAGGTTTGTCAGTTTGTTTGGGATTTTAGCCTTGTTTTATGTCATTGAGCATGTTTGGATCTATGAGAATGTGGATGGTTGTGTCAAACCCGTTACATGGTTAGCGATTTGTGTTGCTCTTTCAGGGGTGACCGTTTCTAAAGCTCATCATAGGGTTTACAGTCGTAGTTGTTGGAGTCTAGTTGGTGTCAATTTTATTTTTCTTTTGATTGATGTAATGATTCTGAAACTTTTGATATGAATAGAGGCTAGTCTTTGTTAAAAAACAATATTTTTCAAACATTTAATTTATAATACACGAAAAAATAAAATGTAGTCAAAGTAGAGTGTGTGAATAGTGCAACATTTTTTAATGTTGCAACTAAAAAAGAATGAAGGTAGTAGTATATCATATCACATGAAGCAATGGGTGCCACAATTATCATTTTTACTTATTGACTAATATATGAAATATAAGCATGGATCATAACGACACTGAATTTGCAGGTTCAATGGTTCATCCCCACAATTTTGAGTTCTCTAATCAATAACCTGAATGATTAGTTAAAACAAAATGAGTGAGACATGGCCGCATCGCCAAAGCTTAGTTTAACAAAAATGAATGACATACGACGGGGTCATGCTTGCAATTCGACAAATTACATTTGATTCATTTAATTTTTTTTCTATTTTCTATAACTTTGTGTAATTGTGCAGTTGGCCTCTTGTAATATTAAGACTTATGGATGTTAATAATTAACATACTTCTTAATTAAATTTGTGTTGTTTTATGGGGACCTATGGATCAAGTTCTTAAAACTGCTTCTGCTTCCTTAGAGAGCATAAACATAATCAATTACAAATACCCCTATTATTCATATGAAAAACATAGATTTATATAAATTAATAGAATTTGCTTTTAGGTGTATTGAATTTAAAAGTTAATGGGTTAAAACAATCTACTACAATCTATATACACCATACGTGATCAAGTATATGGTCTCGGACCCCCGGTTCACATACTCCTGACACGTCAACAAGCTCAACAACTACGATCGGCCCACCACAGCAATTGGGCACCCCTCGAGCTCAAGTTTGAGGGCGTTGAACAACAGCATATCGCAGAGAGGTAACCTCACGTATACGAGCCAGTCCATTCCTGTCTCAGGAGAACCGTTCGGGAAACAACCTTCTGGTCCCGGGGGCAAAGCCCTCGACCTCGGCACAAAGAGTTTTCGGTCTCGCGCTTCTCCGCGCCCAACTATCGCATTTAATGTTGTGCCATGTGCCCACATCTGCACCACATTGGTGCTCTTCGCCATAGATAAGACACTTAGCATTTATGACTACTTAAATAGCAGCTCCTTGGGTAATTGTAATGATTCGAATATCCATTAATACGATTTTTCTCTATCTCCAACTTAATAGCTCTACTTTATCTCTACATATCACTAGTGGTATCTAGATATATATTATTAGTTATCTATAAGAGCTTAAGCACTTGGTCTCCGGTGCC